CCATCTGTGACCTTGTCAGAGGGAGGTCACAGTGGGAACAATGCTTAAAAGGAATGGGGAGAAGATAAAAAAAAGGGGGGGCAAGGCCAAGGCCCAGTAGGGTATGTGGTAGGAGGGAACCTGGCAGTTCTGTTCGCTAGTGTCCCCCAGCCTCCTGTACCTGCAGCCTGGCTCCCAAGTCCCTCCACCCTCGGGCCCCAGCACCGAGGTTCGATGTGAGCTCAGCATATACAGAGGGAGGTCACAGTGGGAACAATGCTTAAAAGGAATGGGGAGAAGATAAAAAAAAGGGGGGGGCAAGGCCAAGGCCCAGTAGGGTATGTGGTAGGAGGGAACCTGGCAGTTCTGTTCGCTAGTGTCCCCCAGCCTCCTGTACCTGCAGCCTGGCTCCCAAGTCCCTCCACCCTCGGGCCCCAGCACCGAGGTTCGATGTGAGCTCAGCATATAGCTGTGACCAACTGAGGGGGAGAAGGCAGGCCTGGGGGCAAATAGGGCTCAGGTGCCTCCAAAGCAAGGCTGAGCTCCTCTTTCTTGAGGAATCCTCCCAGAGTGGACACTAGGGACTGGGAGTGGGTGGTGGGGGCCCCAGCATAAATGCGGGGATGGGCAATAGTCAAGGGATGGGTGGGGGGGTCCCTTGCCTGCTTGCACCACAGCTCCAGTCTCACTTGCTCTCTGCTGCCCCCTTCTGTACGCTCCTCTCTTACTCCCAAACATCCTTTGTTTTATTTCTTAGGGTCTGATGGTTTGTCCAGAGCTGGGGTATCTACAGACTGCAGTGTCAGAGAAAAGGAGGGAGGGAGGGAGAAGGGAAGGAGGGAGAGAGAGCGAGGTAGGAGGAGAAAGAGACACATACAGTGATTTCCTGGAGGACAGCAAGGTCATTCTCCCTGTCTGCTTCTTCTGGGAGTTCTCCATGTTGGAAGGGAAAGGTTGGTCCAGTGGAACTGAAGGTCAGGAGGCATCTAAGAGTATTTAGTTTGGGAATTCTTCCCCAGCCATTTGGGGTGGGGTCCCATGCTCCTGCTAGACCCCCTGCAGAAGTCGGGGTCCCTGATTGCCTGGCCAGAGAGTACTATCCTGACATTTTCCATGCTGTAGTCAATTTATGGAGGCACACTTGGGGTCAGTGGCCCTGCCAGGGCCCACTGGATGAACCATGTCAGCAGCTGTGATGACTGTGTGGTTTTGTGGAGCACCATGAGAAGGGCTGGGCCTGGTCTACCTTCCCACTATGAACAGAGGAGGTAGGTGCTGTGAGTTAACATGCCCATGGGAGTCAGAGTGCAGCCAAGCCTGGTGGGCTCTCTGCTTGAAGTAGCCCAAACTCTCAGGCTCCATGCTGTCCCTAGTGATGCCTATTCTCTGTTACCCGATTTGTAAAATGTTCTGTGAAATTCCACCCACCTAACGGATCTCTTACAAGGCTTAAGGAAGGTGGATGCACAGACAATACTTAATTCTTAGTGGTTGCAGCCCAGTTCTGGCTTGATAAATGGGAGCCAACCTTATTCTAGTAGACTATGCACCATCCATCCTCACCCACCCTGTCTCCAGCAAGGCCACTTCACCCTCCCTTACCTTGGGTAGTTCTAATAGAAGCAGAGTATAGGGCTTTGCCCTCCAGCCACAGGCTAACCTGGCAGACTGGTGTAGGGCTTTGTATAGCTCCCTGCTTCCCCAGCCCCCCCTACCTGCCTCCCACATGTCGTAATTAAGCTCACAACATCTAGTGTAAGCAAATGATAACATGGGCATTATCTCCTGTTAGTTTGTATTTTCCTTGCCTATCATAAAGCAATTAAAATAATGAATGCCTTGTAAAACAATAGGTAAGAGGGCTGGCAAAATAACACTGTGCACCCCCCATACCTCTTGCGTTGTGACTTATAGATCCATTAAAACCATGGTGGCTGCAGGGGACTCCCTGGCTCTAAGGCTTTTCCATGCTGAAAAGGGGCTGTAAGGTGTTTGTGCCCTCTGAGTCTCCAGGCTTGAGCAGCAGGAAGTTGGACCTCCAGATGGCAGCCAGAGACCGTTTCAGAAGCACCCCTGGTTGGTGTTTCATGTAGCCCCTTTGGTAGAGTGCTTGCCTAGTATGCACAGAGTCCTGAGTTCCATCTCTATTCCTACATAAACTGGGAGTGGTGGTGGTGTATGACTATAATCTCAGCACTCAGGAAGTGGATAGAGGTAGGGAAATCAGAAGTTCAAGGTCATCCTTGGTCAGAGCAGTTCAAGGTGAGAGAGAAAAACACCAGAATTGAGATCTCAGAGCCCTATCTTTCCCTTATCCTCCAAACAGTCATCTTCTGAAAAAAATTAGGAGATTCTGGCTGAAGAAAGAGGCCAGGAAAGTGCTGGAGGTTAAGATGCACAGTCCATTTCAGGTACAGGCAGGACTCATGATGTCTTGCCAGGATGAGCAAGACCTGTGGTTCTCCAAATGCTGTGTTCAGGCCCACAGCTCATCAGTGCCTGGGAGCCAGACAGAACTTCAAGTTCTGGGGTGGGCCCAGCGCTCTGTATCAAGAGTGCTGTATGCTTTTGATGCTGGTGCTGACTCAAGACTGAGAACCTTTATTTTCAGTATCAATGTCAGATGTGGGATTGGGGTGGGATGTGCTGGGACTATTAATTGAGCCTGTATTATGTGCCATTGGGCACCGTTTAATCCTGACAATTACAGGACAGCAGACAACTTTGTCCAAATTTCACAGGAGAGGTCCCTCAGTGGCAAGAGGGCTAGATTTCTATTCGGAATGTGCATGTTGCCCACTGTGGCTGCCAAGGATCTCATTCTCCCTGTCTTCCTGGAGACCTACCTCTTTAGTGTCAGGACAAGGAAGAGTCCTAACAGGCCACTGAGACTAGCTAGGAGACTTGGACAGCAGATGTCACTCATGTCTGCAGGTGGCCCTCACATATGCCCAAGGCCCCTCCCTCCCAGGTTCCCACTGGTATTTCTTAGCTTCTGTGGCTCAACACACTGGACAACAAAGCACCAGCATCCAGTGCTCTGCCCAGCTCCAGCTTCTCTCAGCCCTCGCTGAACCAGGGGCAGCCAGCAAGAGAGAAGCCTCGGAGCAGCTTCCTGACTGCCTTGGCCAAACCCCAGTGACCTGCCTAGTCTCCCCTACTTGCCCAGCCTCGCTGGGTCCACTGTACTCCCTGCAGAGGAAGATTCCCCCTTGTCTCCCCCCCCCCTACTTTAGCCCAAAGCACAGTGATCTTCAGTGTAGTTTGCTCTGGAAATTAATTCCAGTGTTTTAAGTGATGCTGACATAATTTGCTGACATCTTTTTCCATCTCTACTAATGGGCTGAGTTCAGTTTAGTTTTAGATGAATGATGTCCTATATGTCATATATGTATAATCCATGCATTTTTATCATACTTACAAAAAATTGGTGTGTACCTGGAGCTCAAATTTGACTGGGTGTCCTGTATTTTATCTGGCATCCCCAAACCCAGGCTTTGTAGGTGATGAAGGGCAGATACTCAGGACCCTTAGTTATCATTCATTTATGGTTTTTAATGTTTTCTTTCACTCTGTAGTCTGGGGCTGTCTTTAAACTTGTGAGTGAGCCTCCTGCTTCACCCTCCTGAGTGCTAAGTTATAGGCATGTACCACCGTGCCCAAATTCATTCATGTTTACTGAGCCAGCTTTGTGCCTGGACTGTGTTGGGCATGGGGGCTTATGGTAGTGTTGGAGAAGGAAATGGAAAATAAGTAAGTGAATTACAGAGTATATTAGAGGTTTCATCTGTTGTGGAAGACAGTGAAACAGTAAAGTACAATTGGAAGAAAAGAGTTGCAGTTGCCAGAGGGTAGCCAGGACAGACTGTTGGGAAGTTGAGGGTGCATGTGCTTGATGGGGACAACGGAGGGAGCAGGCTTGAGCATCTATAGAATGGGAGCATTCCAGGCAGATGGCACCTTATGGGCAAAGATGTGCAGTTTATGACCTTGCCAGGTTGGGATATCTGAAGCCTTATTTGCTCAAGCAAATTCCAAGTTTCTGAGGTGGACTTCGTTGCCTCTGGTATGAATTTTAGGCACAGCTGGATCCAGGCATCCACATGTTGATATAACGTAATGTTCTCTCACCTCTGCAGTGGCTTCCTGTTCAGGGAAGGATTACTTTTTCTATTCTTCCTAGTAAATGTGCCATACCTTAGCCTATTGACTTGGCAGAGGTCAGCTGACTATCCCTGGCTGAAATGGTTATTGATGGGAGACAGAATGAATGATTGGCCAATCTGTGTTGCTGGAACCACTGTGGGGCCATCATGAGTCCCTTTTGAATTTCAAGGATGTAAAAAAAAAGAAAGGGGGTCAGCACCGTGAGGGGCATGAGGACTTGTGCAGACGGTGGTGTGCTGTTCACACCCCTCTTTACCACTCTGGGCCCACAGACAGACTTCTTCCTCTCATAAGGGTATTTTAAAATAAAATGAAAGGTTCTTTTCTTTTCTTCTTTTCTTTTTTCTTGTATATGCATATGTTCTCATGTTCATGGGTGTTGGCCTGTGTCACAGCATGTCTGTAGAGATCACAACCTTGGGTTTCAGTCATCTCTTTCCACCTCGTTTGAGACCAGGTCTCCTTTTGTTGGTCTCTGTTGTATATGTACCAAGCTTGTTGGCCTGGGAGATTCTGGGGGTTCCTCCTGTCTCTGCCTCCCATCTCTCATGTGAGTGTACTGGAATTACAGACGTGCCCTATGGTGCCCAGCTTTTACATAGGTTCTGGGAATTTGAACTCAGGTCCACATGTGCATGGAAAGTGCTTTGCCCATTGAGCGACCTTCCCAGCTTGATTCTTTTTTAACAGATAAAAAAACTGAACCTATAACCATCTCATCTTCCCTTCCTCTGTACCTATAAGCCACTCTCTCTCATCTGGAGACTCTTTGGGGTTCTGATTCCTTATGGGTGGGCATCTTATTTAAATGCTGTTGTTCCCTGTGCCTCAACTCTCATTCCCTCTCTTGCCAGGAGGCCCAGAAGATAAACAATGGCTCCAGCCAGGCAGATGGCACTCTCAAGCCGGTGGATGAAAAAGAGGAGGTGGTGGCAGCTGAGGTTGGCTGGATGACCTCCGTGAAGGACTGGGCGGGCGTGATGATATCCGCCCAGACACTGACTGGCAGAGTCCTGGTGAGTTCCTGGGGGGCCTTGTGTCTGGGAAGGGGATTTCCTTGGGAGAAGTGATGCTGCTCTGGATCTGCTCAAGACCAATTGAGTTGAGCGATCAGTGAGTGCCCCATGTGCTTATGGATCAGTGTGGTGCTCTTGGCACATATCCAGACCTGTGGTTTGAGGAGTGTCTGCAGAGTGGGCCAGCATCCTGTGCTGACAATCTGCTTGGGAGATGGGCTGAACTTTGGCAGCAAGACAGATGTACACATACATATACAAAACTCTCATGTGCACACATACATCTGCATTATCTTGGAACAAAGAGTGCAACAGGAAATATAAACTAGAAACTTGTCCAGTGTCCATCAATCCTGGGATCCAGCAGTGTGTGTGTGTGTGTGTGTGTGTGTGTGTGTGTGTGTGTGTGTTGGCCTGGGCATGTTATGCTGTCCTCCAGTGGCCAGGCAGCACCTGTATAGGTGCAGTGTCCTAATCTGCCCTGTGTGAGCTGGGTCCTGGATGCTCATATGCAGGCTACAGGCAGTCCTCTGGGAGGGTCCTGTGCTCACTGCATTCCTCAGGTGCTCTGTTCCTTCTGGTGAACCTGTCACTGAGTCCTGCTGCAGCCAGGACTCACACGGATTCTTCCCCAAGTGCCTTGTGCCTCTCTCTGATCTGCTTGTAGAGAGCTTAGCTTCACCAGTTGGTCTTCTGAGTCTCTGGTTTGGGATAAGGATCTGAGCAAGATAGGCTTGTAGTAACCAACTATGCCATTTTGCTTGGGGCTGAGGGCTCCCTGGGACATCAGTGTCTGTGCTAGACAGCTTTAGTGTGAACTTGACACACCTGGGTTGAAGGAGCCTCAATTTGGGAATTTGCTCTATTGGACTGGCCTGTGGCCATGTCTGTGGAGTGTCTTCTTGATGAGTGATGTGGGAGAGCCCAGCCCACTGTGGGTGGTGCCACCCCTGGGCAGGTGGGCCTGTGTTGCATAAGAAAGCAGGCTGAGCATGGGCCAAGGAGCAAGCCAGTAAGCAGCATTCCTCCATAGCCTGTGCTTTAGCTCCTGCCTCCAGGTTCCTGCCCTGAGTTCCTACCTTGGGCTCCCTGATGAACTGTGCGACCTGGGAGATGTAAGCCAAATAAACCCTTTCCTCCCCATGTTGGTACTGGTC